TTTCTTCGCGAGTGATGCCCTCGTCGTCGACGAACGCATCGCTGGCGTCGCCCACGTCGACGTGGAATTCGAAACTAGCTTTCGGTCCGTTGCTCACTCGCTTGCTTATCCCCCCCCCCCATTTGGCCATGCCATATACACACACATACACTAAAAGAGAGCTATCGCGGCTGTCTCTGTCTCCGCCACTGCTGCTCCAGCAACCCCCAAGGCTCCACCCAGCATAAGCAGCTTGTTCTAACAGGCTAAAAGCAAGACAGTGAACGAACGCTTCCTGGACTCGTTGACATACTATTCTTTAGTCTTGGCTAGTGGAGTTTCTCCCGGTCCTGTGAATACTTCGACCTATCTCATCCACCTGCTCCTTCCAGCCGCGCCCTGATTTAACTTTTTCACAAAATGCTCCCGATGCAGTTGAGGCAGGCATAGAAGCAGCAGGAGCTCCGTCGGCTGCCACCGCTGATCAAAGTCGAACAAAATGCGCACGGAAACACGTACCATGAACTGCCTGCTTTTAAAGGGAAGGGGTTTTAAAGAAGCCTTTCCACGTGCAGCGACAATTCTCGTGTGATACACATGCAATCAAATATACACATGCGAAGACTATTGAACACAACAGGTGTTTTACGTCGAACACTACCGCTTTTTCTGACAATAATCAACACTAGCAGGTATGATGAGTAAATACGTGGTTTAGGTTCAGTTTTGCTAATATCCCTAGGGATACTATGGTAGATACAGGGTCTACATTATTAACGATCATAAAAGGGGGTCATACCTCTGTACGCTGTCTAGGGGCGAAGCCCGATTCTTCCCATGAATCATTCTGTAAGATTCACTATAGCACTTGTTAAATTTTTATGTTAAACTCTGAAAATGCTTTAATCTACTTACAATGACACGCTGAATCCAAAGGATCGAAATATATCTAGCATAAACTACTCATAACGAACAAGTTTGCTTTACCCAATTGCATAGATTTTATTTTTATCCTTAGCTTCGGTATTTACAAACAATGCCGCGCCTGCCAGCGATTATTAAAAAGGTCGGAAATGGATAAGAATATGTCATAGTCTACAATTGTTGGCGTTCCTTAGTGTTTTTTCAACGTTTGTACCATTTGAAGTTTAGATCTCCTGATTTATTGATGAATGAAACAGCTGTTCCGAACGGATCCACGAGCAGATTAAATTAACTAAATACTTATCTATTATCAATATTTAGTAAATTGATAGAAACAGTGGTTATATTACTTATGTCATTGTCTAAATCTAACCACCCTACAAACAAATGGAGGAAATCTAGTACGAAAGAGCGCGAAGACTCATGGCGGCTATCGTGTGGTCAGAACTATTATAACCTGTAGAAAGTTTATTAGCATGAGACGCGCAGGGTTCGTAGCTGAGGCAGACGCCTTTTCCAATATAACAGCACCCAAAATGTGTCTATCCTCATGTATATACACGACAAGTTAGAGCGTGAATTTGCCTCCATTCAGCCAAACAGTATGCAATTAGGATATGCGTAAACGTGAACGAAAAATTAGCATCACTAATACGTTTCTTTTAAGTTTCAATATAATCAATCATGCGTTTCAAGTAATGGCCTATGCCGTTCTTAGGACCTTGTTAAGAGGTAAATAAAACAAGTTAATCTGTTCGTATTGGTCCAAGTCATTATATGTCCAAGACAACATTAATAACAGTTGTGATTCTTTAGTTGTTTAACCGTGTGAAAAATGAACACACAGCTATTTCGGGGGAATATTATGGTTTCAGATAAAATTTGCCCCTTTACTGCGTACTTTATCCCACAACACGTAGTTGCAGATGTTTCTGTAAATGACGGTACCAGCTACATTTCATGACAGATTACCCTAGCACTGGTACGTATTTTCTATTTCGGCTGACTCATGCAACAGAATCCTATGTAAGCAAATCTTCAGACTTCCCTATTAGGAATTGATCCGAGTTGAGTCTTTCTGGACCTTCCGGGAGTTCTTCCTCGATACGTCGAGCTAATAACTTCAACAATAATTCCCACTCTTGCCTTAATTCATTATTTTCTTTTAATTGTTATTTTTCTGTTAATTTATTTCTACTAATTTTTGCCTTTACAATTAAACCAGCGTAGCTGCATGCTTGTTAGTTACCAGTTACAATGGAAGCGCATTTCAAGAGATGCGCACGACCTCTCCAGGCCAGGCCGCTCCTATTTCCGCTAGTTCGAGAAATGTTCCGACCACTGTTTAAGTCTGTCGATGAGTAAGAAAAATAAAAGATACAACCAGAAGTTAATCCGCGCGGTCTGATCCCAGTGGTTACTATTATGACTTGAGCGACTACATTTTTGCCTTAAAGACAGAATATGGTTTGCCTTCAATTCGAGGAAACGCTATGTGAAAATTTAATCGTTGAAGTGTCCTTTCCTTTCTTTAACAGAGTAAAGGAAATCATTCACGGAAAGGATTCATGACCTCCCTCAGGCCCACAATGGGATAGGTTAATTGTTATTCAACGAAGGTAGCTATAGATGAAAATTTGGATGCGCTCGTAAAAATGAATGATTATCAGACAACGTTTCTACAATGGCAACATAAAGTATCTAATGTTGGTTTTGAAGGTCACGCATGAAGCAGCTCTCGATAGATTGTTTAGAACAGGAGCCGAAATGACGTAAAATAAAGACTGTTTGCAACTTTCGTATGCATATATACGCTAGTCATTTCAATAAAGAGAATGTTTTTAACTTGAATATAACCATGTAGCATTTTGTCCAAACGTTCGAGTTTTGTGCACATTTTCTGGCTGGACTGTATCGGGCATAGGCGTGTTTTTTAATTCGATTCAGGCTAATGTCAGAGCAGATCAGCTAAATTTTGCTGCTATTTGAAATAAACACATTTTTGAGAGCTCATGCCCACGAACTCTAATTTCAATTGTCGTGATCAGCTGACGTAAGCGTACAACATGCTTATGTACAGGAGGTAATAGGAGCTAATCTGCATCTTTTTTTGCCGTCATTTATTCATACTATTGTGCCCCAGGACCAGTGGCGAGAAAAAAATTCGTGCTACTTAATTCTTAGCAAGATTGACATCGTCACACGGTGGCTTTTCGGCTTAATTCAGCCTTTTGCTTGAAGATGAAACAAGGATCGGCTTGACGTTTCCCTGGAACATCGGAAAGCTCGGGCAGAAAACGTGTTTGGGGGGCCCAAAACGGGCGAGAACTGAAAGGGAACTACGGGATTGGGCAGAATAGTTGAAATGGCAGTAGGGGCTCGGAACGTAAGAGCGAAAAAAGCTGGGTTGAGTGGTAGTGGGCGTCGCTGTTCTCTCGGAAGCTAAACTGAAAAGGCAGAAAAAACGTACAGTCGAGGATGGTCATCTCGTTCGCTTTCCCGTGGCCAGGTTATCTACGGAATAAGAGGCAATCAGCAAAAGTGGGCCCACTTTTCCCTTTATCGGCCAAATGGCCAATTTTGACAACGCTAACACTACTTCTACGCTGACCGTACGTGGCCGGCTCACCGCCCATACGATTCTCAGAAATAGCAAACCCCTTCTGGGTATCCCACAACAAGTCCTCGAGACGGGAACTACATACACGGAATGAAATAGCTCAAGGGCTCCACTAATGAAACGAAAATATGATTAGGAATGTCACACCGTATAACAGAAATCGTTGCTTGTATATCCATGTAAGCAAAATATATCAGGCTTTTAGTCTAACGGTGTTAGACAGAAACTCTGTTTGATTCTGTAAATATCATTAAATAATTCCCGCAGGTCATGAAAAATTTTATACAAACTGTAGAAAAGTTACACAACCCTAATTTTTCTCAAATTGAAAAGTATCTTTTTCATGTAAGCTTTTTTGTTGTAAATAAATTTGAATAAATTGTGAGTTTCCCAATAGGAAAGAAAGAAGTATTCTAGTATGGACTTCCAGAAAGGATAAGCAATTATTAAGAGCCTTGACATAACGTCAAAATTAGGACCAAATTATAATTATTTCTAGCATACATTAGTTATGCCTTACGATACACGTTGCGATATAAATACGTGTTTACGAATTGATACCTGTATACCTGTGTACTGATACACTTAGTTTTTTTCCATCCATTGTCGTTCGAGTTTCGTAATGTTGCGTAAATTTTTTATCATAGATAGAAGCACGTACCATTAGATAGACTTTGTTTTTAACTAATACAATTACTCGTAATTCACACATTTTTGCTAACTTTTGAGTTAGTTTATTTTTACATAGCATATGCTTTGTGTGGATACTGGTTGTGGTGGCATGGCTTGCTATTTGCAACATAAACAATTTTGACGGAAAAAACGACAGACGCCCATTTCAAGGCCTCTGAGTGCGCAGGCCAGCATCTGGCATATTCAGCACGCCTTATTCATACCGTTGCTTTCTCTATGGTTCTTAGTTACTCATGCTTCACTAAAATGCTTATAGGGCTAATATTACTTTACAGAACCACTAGCAGCAGATCTTTTAAAGTAGCAATAAAACCGTTCTATGGCTAAAAATATTACTAACATCTAACTCTTGTCATGCGGCGGTAGTTTCAGGCAGAATAATGAACTTTAGTCCCGAGTATTATGTCGCACTAAATCATCAGAAGCACAAAAAGGCCAGCGTGATATTCAGCCTATTCGCCGACTCGTATGAGTACAACTTCTTCAAAACTTTGTACAGAAATGGCTGAGATAATACGTTTATGACATTACTTGACGGAAATCCTTGTAACAATGCAATGATAACATGTTCGCCTACGAACCCGAGAATCGCACGTGCTTTGTAGATCCACATCTGCAGAGGTGATCCTATGGATATGCATCGTTTTCTATTCATTTTTACATAACCCGATTTTTACACTAGCCCCGGATTTTCGTAGTCCGTCCGTCCGTCCGTCCGGTCGTCCATACGATTTATTTATTATCACTGACCATCGTTTGTCTAGAAACAAAAAAAGTAGATGGAAAAAAATCTTTGAAGCTTTAGCGTCGTCCTAAAAGTTTGACGCCGTTACGGCCATCGTTATTACCACTGTCATGGCTTAGATAGTCACTGTCGTAAAAAAGGACAATTTGCGCTCCTTCGACTGTTTGACGCGCGAGAACTGTGCATCGGGCGCGGCTTTTCAAAGCCCGTCTACGGTCCGAATTCAGCTGGTTGCTTCCGTTTCATTGCAAGGAAACATGCACGTTTTATTATAGGCAGCTGCGAAGGTAGCGATTCACCTGTCAGCTTGTACCTGGTTGAGCTACCGATGGACTTAACTGAACCAGTGTTATGAAGCCAGATATGGATATTCTGCAGGTAAAGCTTCGTGGTCGTTGAAAGTGTTTATTGGCTCTACGTGGAGTTTATCTGATCGATAATATGATTCTAAATGCCTAAATAAATAAAGTACTATGTGTTTTTTGTTTTTTTTTTTCGTAATAAACCATTTCTGTGCTCGTCAGTGCTCGTAATGCCGTTTGGAAAACGGTTCACTTTAGCCGTTCACTACGATGAACTATCATAATATAATAACAATTCTAATCTAATCACGCAGTTACATCGTAGAATCGAGATCACTGAGAAATGTAAGCATGAATATTATTTAAAAAAAAAAAAAAAATATTGTCAAAAATTGCGAAGCTCTCGTATGGAAGCGATACCGTAAAAGGTGTTCATGATCGTATGGACGTACAGCATCTAGCGTTCATTCATTCGAACTGTCCTAAGGACCAATAGAATTAGCATGTAAAACTGCTTCAAAACCATTACGTACTCCATGTCTTACTATTCTAGTATAATTATAACCAATTGGTGCGTTCTATCTAGCTGGATGCCTGCGCCCTTGATGCCAGTCTGTAGTGAAACAGTTAGATCGCTGATTTATGTGCAATTATCACGAAAGATAGAAACTGCTTCCCGAGTCACACTCCAGCTCAAGACATATTATTATTTATAAAAAGCGTCATACAACAGCCCACATGCAGTTAAACATACATTAATTTTAGCTATCAAGATGATTCGGCGAGTAAAACAATTACGAAGATTAGCTCATGACGTACGTTTCTTGTTAGGTGAATCAATGTAGACAAGGTCTTGCAGTGTTATCTGCGATCAAACCTTACCGGCAGTCATGCCAACGTCCCAGTTATGAGTCTTTCACTGTAAGCACTTTCTCTCCTTGTCCCTCCAGGCTTTATCTTGAAGGCTAAATTAGATGCTGTCATATATGGTAGAACGCATTTATGTCACTCTTCAACCGATTGCAGAGGTTCCACTAGGCAGACGTCCCTTTCCTGGATCGTCGGTCATATGAACCATGTTCCTCACAGCTCATAGCACGCCTGTGCCACGCCTTCCTCGACTTGCACCACCCCGTGACGAGGTGAGACTGCCATGAAATACACTGAACGGCAAAAATCGGTTTCATTAGTTTGTAATTAAACTGGACGAGTGTCACACTTCCTACGAACAACGGTATCAGAGAAAAAGCGCTCGCACGAAAGCTGATCTTCGGAGTGGGGCGCGGAGGGAGAAGTAGCGTAGGGGCTCATTTAGGATGAAGAAAACCCTGCGACTCGTTAGCTGCGCTGACGCTCGGGGGGTCGTCGCAGGGTGAAAGCACAAAAACGGAATTGCCGCGTTTTAAATGCGCGCCATAGCATCAGGCTGGCAGCATCTCATCCTTTGGGATACGATCTTCAAGGGCTTCAACAGAGTTAGACCTCCGTGCGTTAAAGAGGCATTTTCGTTACTCGTAATATTCAGCGACAATCACACGAAGATTGAATAAATTTTACCTAAATTCCTTACGTAAATGAAAAGGTAACGAAGCAAACAAGGCTCATATTATGTCTTCAGAAAAAAGGTCTAGTATCTTATTCGTAGTGCTATTGTTTTCTAATAATACCTACCCTAGATCGGCGGGTATGGAGAACATAGAATAAATTCATAACACATTGTGTATGCTCACCTTATCGACGCCCATCAGTGGTCAGTCCTTATTTGCCTGTCTGATATCCCTCGTTTCTCTGGGATTACCGCTACCAATGAGACAGGAAATGGCTTTGCATCGCGTACCCTTTTTGGTAAATAGCAGTAACCTGGTCCCATGGTTACGTCACTTTCCCGCGAATAGAGAAAGTACAGGTAACAGTCGGCTGTGGAGAAAAAGGAGAGTATACGATTACTGCTAATATGATTATTTTCGACAGGCGCCAATGCCTTTGACGTCATAAGCATGAAAACTGTGTTGTAGGAACACTTTTGAAGGCAGGGTCTCCAAATTCAATCTGAGGCCGCATAAACTACGCTCTTCGTACGTGTATGTTCGTGTATGATCTTTAATCGCGAAGGCTTTAATTAAACGAGCATCGCCGATATTGCTCTTCACATTTTGCCTGAACCACCTGAACTTTCAGAATGACCTGCCAAAAGAAAATAGTAATGATACAAACCCCCCTTCTTTTGCCAGCCCCCGGAAAAGGAGTTACCATCTGATGTTGCCATCGGTCTGGCTTTCATGACAACTACAAGATGACAATTAAGACCTCACAAATACTAACAAAATAAGTCGGAACGAGAAACGATATATTTAAGATACGCAAACGGCAAATAAGCCACAGTGAACGATATCAGTTTGTTATTGCTAGACCTCAATGCAAACAAATGTTTCGTGTTGCGCTAAGGCTACTTTTATCAAGACAATTAGTATTGTCCTAACCTAACCTAGTTCACTGTTCGACAGCATGATAATGGATTATCTACGAGTATACAAATGAGATAACGATCACCTATCGATTCGTAGTAGACTGTCACGGATAGGAAAAGGGAGGAAAGCGCCGTAATAATACGTTCCGCATCAAATATAGAATCCTAGTTTACAATGTTCTATATTATGAAATGTACTTGTTTTCATTGTTTATGTAAGAGATACCTATCGATAAGAAGATAATCAGATCTCGAATCACAGACCTAATATACGTTCTACATCAGCTATTTTCAATATGAAGATAGCACGACGGGGAAAAATACATGCATTTGTAAAAAACTACTTTGTCAGACCTTACAGTTTATCTTATATTAATGGTATAAGAAACTTGCGATTGTTATTTTAACTTTATGCACTTCCATGTGCAAACACAACGAAAACATTCGAGAAACAACCCAGATGATGGCAACAACAATGTTTAATAGACTAAATTAATAGGTATTACATATAATCACATGTGCTAGCTATATAAAACTCACAAGTTCAGATCAACTCAAAGAGTTAGAGAAGTTATTGCTACCCAGTTAATTGTTAACTACGATCCTATTGAGATTCAGCGAAGGGATTCCGAGAAATGCTTGACATCTATCCTGTCTATCCTGTTTGCCGCTATGACGCCTCGTAATAGTCCTTTTTCACTCTCGAATCAACACTCGATTACACGCCATTAACGGCCAATTAACGACCTCTTAAAGTGACCACTGTCCTCACAAAATCAGTGTCCGCTAATACACCATTGAAGAGGTGTGACCTGAAAAGCTGGAGAAATAAAAAAAAGACTAGAAATTCTAATATGCTTTCTCACGATTTTCGTGCTGGTGTGGGTAAGGATGCGTAGGAAACTATTTTGTATCCTTTGTTAAACATAGTCCAGAGTCTAACCTATTTACTGAAAATATCTAGGATTTATACAGAACAAAGTATCTTGATGCGTTTAAAGCGTGGCAATAAAGAACGGGCTAATGCTTCGAGCTTTGATTGAGATTCCATGGAGGATACTTTTAAAAATATATATACATCTGGAATTTCCGAAGTTGGGCGGACCAGAAGATAGAAATGAAAGGCTTCCTATAGACGTTAGACTGGATCTCATCTGTCTTTTGACTGCTGGAATTGAGTGCCAGTTCCTGCAGTCAAAAGGACATCGATCAGAACGAACTGTTTGTGTCGCCAAAACAACTCTTTAGCTAAACACCGCATATTACTAGACTCACTCGTCTTCAAATAACATGTTTCTAAAAAAAAAACAATGGACAAACTCATCATTGAAAAAACGTTTCATATAAAAGTACCTTAAGTACTGGCACGTCTGGCTCTGCCTTCTGCAGTTACTGAGGAGCACTTTTTGATAACATTGGCACAGACGAACTTGCAAGGGGTAGCGGGACTGGGTAATGGCAAAAATACAGTTAACAGACGAGGAGATTGTGTGAAATGCGTTTGCTATTCTGACAGCTAAATAGGAAACCGCCATAAGGAGCTTTCCCAAAATTCACCATAACCTTTTAAGCAACTGATAAAGATATGTAAGATACAGGATTTTTTGTAAAACGGCTCCCCCCCTCCATCAAAAGAGATGCCTTCCATCGTCTTATGGACGTCCCTAAATCAGTTAATACATATTACGCCGCAGAGTAGCCGCATCATCGAGAAAGGTGAACTAACTACAATGATGATACGATGCATTAACTTACGACATAAAAGATCGTTTTATGGGTTTATCTGCTTCTAGTGCTCAGGCTAGCTAGATTCATATAATAATCTCTGAAATAAAGTACTATTTGCTATAATAAAATACTACTGAAATAAAATACCATACTATTAATTGAGGATGGTAGCGACCTATCTTCGGTTAAGTCGTCATAGCGCTGAGACTACAACCTAAACAGGTATAAATGCAGAGCGTACGGGAAGTGCGAACGCAGCATTAAGAAGGTAACGGAAATTTGATGGCGTCAAAGGTAAGTTTTTTTTGCAAATTTAACTTCTGCAGACTCTTGTCTGAACCATATATTTCGAAATGAAAAAATAATTGGCAAAATTTTTTGTAGAGGAAAAGCAGTACTTCAAAAAAAAAAAGTACTTTCAAATATGAACCGATCATTGAAGTTCATTTTTGAAGATATTTTTACTTCGTTCAAATTTGCAAGGCAAAATAGGATAAAGAATTGCAGGGAAGTCTCTTCTGAAGAAGTCAAATTTCAGTTAATCTTCCATTGGTGTGTACAACTTTCCGAATGGTTTGTAAGGCCTTCATGTCTAGTTGAATTATTGTACGTGAACAAATATTTATACGTTTTTAGGAAGTAAAAACTATTTTAAATAAATTTCCCTGGCGTATGGGATGTACGAGGTGTTCACAAAGCAACCCAAACTACCAAATATAAGCTAGACCTTTTAGTTTTTTAGGTCAAATATTTTCCGCGTTGTATAAAGACTAGTAACGCTGCCTCGCATTGCATCGATGGTCATCATAAAATGTATCATTTTAAAAAACGAAGTTTATACAAGACACCCTAATCTGACAAATATAATGAAATCCGGCTTGTGTTTATTTAAATGTACAACAAATGTGTTCCATCTTCTTTTGAATTTAGATCGGTAAGCAAAGCTGTTTTTTCCTGGGCTAAATTTTTCTCATTTCACACAAAAAGTTCGTTTCACACAAAAAGTTCGACGGATCGCACAGCTGCGATCTTCGATCGCCGATCTAAGTAGTACACGTACGATGAAAGGTCAGACCACGTCGTTGGCCAACTAATATTGTTACCTTGATTTTTATTAAAAGTGGATAAACAACGTTTTGCCGTTACGGTAGGGCTCCTTTGCGTGCGTCTATTACCACCAAGTTGGAAGTTCTGTACGTTCTCGCAATGTTATAACACCACCTTGGACATGTAGCACAATTTGCTGCATCATTTAAATGCTTCCGCTTGTCTAGGAAATGTTTGCGACGAGAACATTACCGCAAGCTGTTAATTTCGTTTTCGTCACTTCGCGAGCGATTCATAATTAGACGTGATCGAATGAAACCTTCGATGCAATCCCGCGTACCCGTGATCATGGCCAAATTAAAAAAAAATTAACAAGAAAAAACACTTTCGCCATCGATGTTCCGTTTACCGATTGGTCCTTAATCGAATCACACTTGTAGAAGTCGTACTGGCCGAAAAGACTAAGTTGACACCAAAATAGTATACCTACTACGATATCGGTCCAAACGTATTTCAGGTCACCCTAGATATATCAATAGAATTACGGTTATTGTTATAATTTCTTACTACAAGTGTTACTATCACTAGACACTCGTTTCCGTAGATCGATATCAGTCACTCGTAATTTTTCAATTCATTATTAATTAGAGAGGAGCTCGGGTGGGTAAAATAGTAATGCGAGTGCGTACATATTGTCATCAGCATCATAATCATTAAATGTAAATGTTTTTTTCGCGTTTTTTTGTTTCTTAGGCTTATTCATTGCATCTATATAACATGTCTACTAAGGCTCATTTCATGTATTTGTATTTGTTGTGTATCGTCATTCATAGTTAAGCTATTTCATTAAATAGTTATGCATTAATGTACCATAACCTTTCAGTAAAATAATTGTATGGATATTTATTTACGTCTCAGTCGTTGCCGCAAGCATCCGAGCATTTGTTCTTTTCTTTCCGACAGTCAAACTCCAATGTCCAAAATCCAAAAAAAAGGACCAATAAGGATCATCATTAACTTTCGTCTCGCAACGAACGACGCAATACTACAGCTATTACCACAAGTCAAGTAGCACACGCGATTTACTTGCAAAAAACGCCTCGCCCGCACAGCGCGCTGTGTTTTTTCAGTCTGGTTCATTACCCCATCTTATCTTATACACGTCGTTCAGCTTATCCATTGTAATACAATCGCATTTGTCTATACTATTACCTCACGATTTTACGATAAGATATCGTCGTCTGGTTTTCCACGCGCCGCTCGTAGCTGGCGTCGATCTGCTTGCACTGCCGTTTTTTTCAATAGTGATCTTTCTTTCTCTCCGCTTATATGCGTAGACCCGTACATTTCGATCCATATTTTTCCCGGCGTATTGTGTTCTGTTTTGTTTTTGTTCCCACATGGAGCCTAGCTGTGATCATATCACTTCATCCCTCCCTTTCTGCGGGGCTTGTTACAGTTGGTAACTCGCATAAGCCACTGCAATCTTTAATTGTACAAAGCAAACCGATAGCTGCATGTGACATCACTGTTTCTACAATCAATCAGCTGTTCAACAGGGCGAAACGGTGAAGCGACTTCTGCTAGCATATGCCGTCACCTCCCCGCTTGACGCAACCGGTTGAGACCAATGATTTCATTTAACGTTTTCACTCCTTACACGTACCTTCTTTACTCAGACACTGACATCTATGCTCATGCAATCACGCATATCGTGCATATACACGCAAGCACACATATCGTCCCACGACTTCGTTAGCTTTGTCCTACAACCATGTATCATTAATTTACACTCTTTAATGCTTTTCGCAATCTGACCGTCCAGGAGTCTCAACCAAGTCCTCACTCTGCGGCTAGAGCGGGTCGCGTTCTATCGACCGTTTTCGCTATGTCTCACCGAGTCCCTGTGGCAAAACAGCTTTTACTGCTGGTCCATGATCAAGTTGAGCTTCACGCGCATCATTTATATATCGCTGACATCACTTGAATTTTTGCTGAGACGCCTGGGCTTGCGAGGTCGCCGGCTTGTTCGAGCCACAGTACCCTCCGCTACGTGAAGAAGATGATGTTGTCCTTTTTCGTTCGTGGTCTTCTCGTCGTTGGCTCACAATGCTAGTGATCGAAGAGGTTCGTTTTCTTCCAGTTTCAGCGGCCCGCTGTTGCTGATGCTGCTTCGCCGCGTCTTGTCGCCGACGCTCAAGTACCGCTTGCATCTTTTCGTACTCTTCCGGCTAGGCGAAATTGTTTAAGAGTAGTAAGTACTGATTGCAGGTCTGCTAAACCCTTTACAGTTAGGTGGCTAATATCCTAAAGATTGTAAGAGCTAAATTTGAAATGTTATCTTGATCTGCTTCCATTGTTTTATGCTATTGTCAACCTATGCTAACCGATAAGAGAAAGTATACTGGCACTGAAAATGTACAAACGATTTTCTTACCGGAACCTTAAAATCATCCAGGGTTCTGTACTTTTTCAAATAGGACTCCAAGCGCGGATCAACCTGGAGAAGATGCGAATCCCTATAAAATTTGCGGAAAGCCCAGAATTTCTCGAGGCCGTAAAGCTGGTTATCTTCAGCATCACAGGCAACTTCTTCTTGGAAATCTGCGTACAGGTCTGGTCGGTAGTGCTTCTCCAAGCCGTATGAGTACATACGGAAGAGGCACTCAAGACCTAAAATTAAACATTAAATAGAAACACGCTTAAAGGCGAGACACCAATAAAAAGTAGTGTTCGCTATAAAATGAAACGAAATTGGTATTGCCTATTTATAGACTGCATCCAAATAGAGAAGGTACTTAAATTCATGCGTTGCATGTGTTGACAGAAACATATCTAACGAACATGTTAATTTGATGTTTTTCGATGGTAATTTGATGGTGCTTAGGCCACAGGTTTAGCACGCAGCTTAAACCAGGTCAAGAATTCTTAAAAAAAAAAGCCTTCTCAATTCACTAATGACCTCTTAATATCAATGAACGAAACAACACTGGTAGGTCTAGACTTAAAATACACGCCGCTGCCGAAGATTCAGCGGACTTAGGCCCGGTAATGACACAAGAATTCCAAAAACCTAAGGACAAAAGGTCAATAAAGTGCAACAGATCCTAGGAAAAACTATTGGAGTTTATCCAGATTGTTCGATTGGCGACAGATTCTCTTTTCTTGGAAACAACTGCTAATTTGAAAATTTATTATGATTTCGATATTTTTGAACTTTTAAAAAACGCTGAACTTTCGAGCGCTATTTCTCATTGCGGATCTTCTGCTTTTCTTATAAAAAGTTTTCTCATTTTTTTCGATAACTACATATAAGCTAGCAACAACTTCAGCGTTTCTTGTGTCCACCCGCTTGAGCGGAGTAAAATGACCATGTTATGCAAATAGTATAGACCCAGCCTGTCTTACCATATCTGTAACCGTACTGGGCATCCTCCTTGGCGATGCGCCTGAATTCGTTGTACATGTTGCGGTTAAAGTGGTCACGTAGGAAGTACGACCAGAAGCGGAATAAAGTATTCATTTCAAGACTCTGGCCGATTCCAAGCCTCTTGCGTTCTTTGAGACTCTTGCTTTTGAACCGGTGATAGGCCTGCTGGGTGAAGCCATTGTCTTTGAGTAGAGCGTGCGATGGATGCTCAAACTTTGGAAGTGAGTTTGGTATTGAACCATAACTGGAAGCCAGTGGAACTTTTGGTATTTCTGTTCGGAGTTCCTGGGAGAAGCTACCCCTACGCGAAGAATGATCGTCATGTTCCTTTGTGTCAAGAATCCAGCCAACATGAAACTCTTCTGGAGGGTTTTCACCATGTCGAGTCTTTTGTTTTCGTGGAGTTTTCTGATCAACCGGCTCGGTTGTTTTATCTTTAACTACCGGGTAAAAACGTGGCACGACGCTCGGATCCTTACAGAACCGAGGCGTTCGGCCAGGTGTCATTGGTGCCCGCGTGCTTCTAGGTGTCGAAATCGGCGCGGCAGCTGGCTGAGTTTTTACAATGCTCCCAACTTCAAATGGATCCTGAGTAAGCGCATAGGGCGGCGGCGGCGGAGGCGGCGCTTGTCCATTTGCCTTGCCGCTTTTTTTTGAATCCTCTTGATCCCTTTCGACGAGTTCGACAGTTCTGTGCAGAAAACAGGCAGAGTTCATTAGAGGTACTATCTAAACTGGTAGTATTTAGTTTGGCACGTGCTTAACCTAAGCAATAATCTATATATGTATATATATTATTGCTACCGTTATACCATCACATTGTAATAATCAATAAATCAGTTAAATGTTTCTGTAGGCAATTAATGTAACGGCAACGCTTACCGAACATCTATTGGGAAGCCTCGAAAAAGGACTCAGAGATAGCAATAGGGGTGGTTCATTAAGGAACAAGGCAACATGCGATGGGACACAAAATAGGTTGTCAGAATTTCCTACGTTTTGACGTTGGCAGGGGGAACTGCTTTCCGCTTAAGGGGTGTGAGGTCAGCGAGGGTATCATTCTCGTTCTCGTCAACGGCTGAAGATACATACTTGTATTGCATATTCTCGTGATGATAAATGTTGTTCCAGAGGTCTTCTTCGTAATAATATAGCCCGTCATTGATCACCTGCGCTAATTCCTGGGTCATCTTCGTTCTAGAAGTGAAGTTGGCTGTGCGGTCAAACCCCTCGTGTTTCTTTGCGCGACCCACCGGGGGTGTCTGCATAACTGCAATTGCAAAATCCACGTAAGCTGCTTTAAAAGTGTGTTATTTTCACACGGATGTTCACTAAAGCGGAGCCGTATTTGCGATTATTGATTCCTATAAGAAACTGCATGTATTAATGGCCGATAGAGTGCATCAAATAAGTGTGTCGATTTTTGCGTTCGGTATTGTCATTAGGTTTGCGATGAAGGAAACGTGCTACACCCAGTTTCGAGCCAGCCACCCTTAGTTTAGTATGCTGTCATCTGCAAACTGCCCCTACCGATGATAATTTTGGATATTTCTTCGTCGTTGATTTCATAGTCGTCTTGTGCTTCTTCATCTGAATTCCAGTCTTCGGTAAAACGATTGCAACGGCCTCCTTCATGAGCGAGATCTTCATCGAGTTGAAATTCCAATTCTTCCTTCTCATCTTCCATTGGTGGATTCTGCGAGGCGTTGGGACTTTTCGCTTCGTCAAGTGCGGGCTAGATAGAGTAAGTAGCAATGCACACATAAGAGCGGACCAAAACTAGCACGACTAAGCGAATATCTACTGCTAAAACGTGATCAATTGAATCCAATCAATTATACTATAAAAAAAGTTACTTGCATTCTCATATATCTAATTGAATAAAGCTAATGTTTCGCACTATATTATGAATTTAGGCGCAACTATAAGAAAAAATATTTTATAATGGACACTAACCGTTGGTTCTTTGGACCGACTTTTATCACGGCTGCGGCGTTCTTTCCTAACTTCAGTCCAGTCTTCCCGAGCTTCATCAGTATCTCTAGAATCCTTGTTCTCTGTATCCACATCATCGTTTTCCTTAGGCATGTCTGATTCTGTGTAAGTCAAAAACGGAAAAACAGAGAAAAAAAAAAACACGATTACGCTTTTTCAGCACCTCTCTTCCGCATCCGCGACTCTATCATACGACGTAGCATGATATAAAATTGCAATAAGAATACCGGGCCTAACGCTGCAACACTGCATCCTGCCAGATACTAGCCAGCTAGGTGGTATCGCTTCATCGGCGCTTTCAATAGACTTTCTTCCTGCGGAACAGACGACTTCGTCTAAAATGAAACAGTTTAATAAGCCTATTCTGAAAATCACTTTTTACAGAAATTTCGTGAGCGACCCATCGAAGTGGGATAGAATGAGCTAATAGATGCTTTAACAGGCCGACTAGCGAGGAATTCCCTTGAGATGGCCATTAGCCGGCTTGACCAAACAAGAGAGAGCACACTAAAACTTCAATTATAAGATGACTAATGTATTGCATCTCCGACTCAATGTGGTTTGAAGTTACTGCTCAGACAAGACGTTTATTGTTTGTAGAAGTTTTCTGCGTCCATGGAACAAGAAGGAAAGTACTTCACATGGAAAAAGTAAGTATGTAGCTATCTGCCACTTCCAATAAAAGAATATAATAGGAACCTTATTGATTTTCCAATAAATACTTCGGTAATACCTGTGTGAATACAGTTTAATAATGCTCCATTGATACTAGTTAAAAACAGCGGTGTTCTAAGTACCGTAAACACTTTCTTGAAAATAATAATATTGAAATTTTCGAACTGCTTTGCCAAGCACAAAAGTATTATAATTCACGTAAGGCTTCCATCATATACGTATGAAGATGGCCAAAAGGCAGATTGACTGAGAGATGAGTGGAGCTACTGCTCTGAAATTTCCACTTAATTTTCCCACAACCACTAATCACATGCAGTTTGGGTTATTGCCGGCGAGTTTAAACCGGCCGCAATAAAAAAACCATGCTTTTCATTGCTTAGCACCCAGTTCATTATCGAAACAGACGGCTATTAACAACGCTCTTCAGTCCTTAGCAAAATTAAATTTGTCTCTTTTTCTGTCACATAGTGCAGTATTATTTTAAACAGCGACGACAAAAACGAGCTGATACAGAACTGCTTCTGAGGCATATGCCCATGAGTACAATCAAGCACCCCCTTTGACAAAAGATGGAATAGCATTTTTCGTCTTAGTGTATTGTATCTTACCGAAAACGTACTATACTGTACGATAAAAACACACAAAAAAACGCTAATAGTTTCGTTACACAACAACAACGACAACGACAACAACAACAACATGAAAAACATCATAAAAGGACCCCAATATATTCTTTTCTCGAGTCACATGATCTGATGCTACAGAGGACAAGATACTTGCAAGCGGTTCAAAAGTGAGCACAACAGGCGTCACTCACAATCAATAATCAATCGGTTATTAATGTCTTTATCTTTAGGCGTGAATGAATCAATCAACCAACAAATCGATTCCTATTACGAGCAACCGAAATGATCGCTAAACGCCAACGAAAAGGACAACATCGTCTCTGGGTGTTAATCGTGAGTTCGGAGAATGACGTAGACAATGCTTGATAGCTGTTCGAGCGGTCAATCGCGCCACGGCCGGCATCGCCTCGAGGACTAATCACACGCGGCTGTGCGCCATTCTTGTTCATTATCGGCTTATCAGCTATCAGCATCAGCGGCGATCACGGCAACAAAAGGGATATGTACTTATCGACCAAACTACTATATTGCAGCATTAGTAATAGTATGGTATTACACAATGAAACGCCCTCACAACCCTACAGCAAAAACGCTACCCCTATATATTACATATATGTAAAAACATACGTAATACATAAACAGCACATAACGAAGGCTTCCGTCGATGACCACAAGCGATTTTAGTGACGTTTACGAAAAATCGTGACGAGTTCAAACGACTACTGAATATTAATGTAAGGGCAGACGCTACTAAGGGCAACTGTCAGGTGGCATAACATCGTTCTCCTTTTTTTTTCATCCTAACAGAGGATCACAGTGAAAACACCAGATTAGCAAAACTTAAAACTTTATTTCTCTCTCTCGTTTTCTGCTTCAGTCGGCATTCATGTTTGTTTGTTTGTTTGTTTGTTTCTCAATATTTTTGTGGTTTATTCATTCGTAATATGTTTAGCACTTCTTCGACATGTTGTCATCATCATCATTCACCTCGGCATCTTCAATCGCCATCCCGCCTTTCCCCTCCCTTTGAATACCAGAAATGTCTCTACCGCCCCCTCTCGCACTCTTTCATTGCGCCATTTTTCTTTCAATTGAACTTTCTGTTTCGTGGTTTTTCTTGCGCGTTCGTTCGTTGTTGCTTCTTTCCTCTCACTAGCACTCGCCAGACTTTCGTCTTGCCGCTCTTCTAGTTTCCTTTGTGCCTACGTTCTGTTACCCGCCGCGCCATATTTCTCTCGGATAGCAACTCACGTTTCAATCATCTTTCTCGATATCGTAATCATCAGCAATAATATTGTTATAATTTATAATAGTTATTATATAGTAATAGTAGTATCAATGCAAGTAACTTTTGTTTTTATCTCGCGCATGGCAATACTAGTAAATCATAGAGTATGATAATATTCCACATTTATCATCATAAGGTATATTTTACTCTCATCCTCCGTTGTTGTTGTTGTTGTTGTTGTTGTTGTTGTTGTTGCTGTTGCTGTTGCTGTTGCTGTTGTTGTTATCGTTGTTGTTGTTGTTGTTGTTGTTATCGTTATCGTTGCTGTTGCTGTTGTTATTATCGTTGTTGTCGTTGTCGTTGTCGTCGTTGTTGTTGTTGTCGGCGGTTCATTCATCACTTTCTTTAAACAGTTTTGATAATACCGTTTAGATATACATGCATTTAATTATGTCTTACCTCCGCACATATAAAGGTTATTCGATTTCATGTAATAATTTGCATATACTTCATTTCAGTGTCTCCTCAACTACCGCGCAATTTGAAGTATGCATATTGAAGGTTTTTTTTTTCGCTTCATCTAACAACAACGAACCCCACCATCAAAGACGCTTTTAACTCACTGATCTTATGTTGTCGTAGGGCACACCTTAACATTATGTTCTGAGGTAGAGCGACCTCCTATGCGAGTTCCGTGGTCGTCGAAAACCCGTTCGTTTCTGTTCTAATGAGAAACGTCCGTACTTTCGTACCCGGTCAGCAGATTACTCTATATGTGTGTTGCTCGTAGCGGCAGCCCGACTTGAATCCTAAAAAAACGGATTCCTGCATTTTGCCTCAGTTCAAGCGCCCACCCACATGGAAAGGCGGTGGATTAGCTTGATATTGGCACTCGACCTCGTCGTTCTGTTATTTGGTTTTGCGCTCGCTATCTATTACGTATTGAGGCCTCGCGCTTTGCCTGAACCATCGTACAGGCTTCCGTCTAATTCTCCTAGCAAATAGTAAACCGACAAACCACATACTGGGAAATGGAGAGGCCATTTTTGGTTTAATGCTCGAGACGATTTTATTGAGTATAGACTATGCTAACAAAAATCCAGTGAAAAATTTATACACAGTAGATAAGACGTTGAAATGGAATCCAAAGCTTCTATAAAGACCAACGATGGAAGAATATTCAGAAACGCACTGCCCGCATCCTGAGAGGTACATTAGTGCTAAGAAACTAAACTTAAACCCTGTTAGTCTCTATGAATGGTTTAAGATCCTCAGCTCTCAAGTTGAAAGCAGTATCTTGTGTTTGAACGGTTAACCTATTGCGTTCAACGATTCGATCTGTTCTGTGGTCTAATACGCAAGATACGTTATCATTTTTTACTAATTGTGTGGGATCGTCTGTACAAAGGCCGTCTGTATATAATTCATGTCGTGATCTTTGCAGCTGCGCAACGTCTGTCGGTCGATTTGATCTAGATTCGTTAGCACCAAGCGTCATTTCGTAATTATAATATCGTAGCACTAAATTCTATACTTCCCAAATCGTGGGTATTCAAATGTGCTCCAAACGACAGAGGTCCTTGTTTTGCTTTGTACACGTTAAGCACCGTGTTTGCGAAGTTTTGCATCATGTCATTGCAGACATGCCCTTTTAATTAAAAATTTCCTAATCTGTCAGAGTTTTTGTCGCTATTGTTTCAGCTGTGCTGCTTGTTCTCAGCGTATTCAAGCACCTGTAGCTATAGTAAGGAGCAACTAACTAAGCACAGCTTAGACTGGAGCAGAGACTGCCATCACGTTGGTGAATGCGCTGCTTCGGAGTGTTGAATGAATCTGGTAGTCGTATTCAATGATTTTGTCTAATTTCCTATGTTTTAAATTCATCGGTATGCCTATATTGCCCCAGTAGTTTACACGTTACGTATCCAAGTAACTTCGCGATACATAGTGATGCCCCCCACCGCCCTCTAAATATCAGCTAAACGCAATGCGTCCGTACACTCGCTCATCTTCACAATGGCCTCTTCTGTCATGACTTGCTTTATGCAGATCCGTTGAAGACTTCTAGCTCCGGCCGACCTCGTTGTCCCACTAATACGATCATGCTGCCACGCACCCACTAGCATAACTTCTACCCATCGGGGCCATATACGTTGTCGGTAGTAATGATAGCAGAGGTTTTGTGTTACCGTTGACAAGATGCTGCTTGTCAAGTACCATCCTGGTAGTCATCACTATCCGTTTCACTACCACCATTATAAAATACGATCTATTTTTTTTGTTAATTAGTAATATCATTATAGTTTGTATTAATTATGTATAATTATCATCATCAGCATTAGCAGCAGCATATCATTATTAACACGATCCGTTGGGCTAAATCTGACGTCGTTCGTCTCCTTGCTCTCCCGCTATTTTTCCTTTTCCATTGTGAAACATTCATCTATCTTCGACTGTAAACGACTCGCTTTATACTGCTTGTAATATTCGTGTGTATCCACGTAAAAAACGTTATCATGGAGATACCCTTAATAAACGACGCGAATAAAATCGATTGATTTGTGGTATTTGT